TTGGCTCACTGGCAGGAGGGCAGGGCACACATAGCTGGACCCTGGACACTGATAGGAACACATTACTTACAACTTAGGCTGGCTATTCACCAGCTGAAGAGTGTCTCTTCTAAGGTTTGATGCTGGTGTAAAATGGGATAGTTCTCAGGCTGTTTGCTTTTCTTTTTTGTTTTGATGTCAGTTTGTTTTTTCTTTTAATGAGGATTCTCTTTTTGACTACACTGGCCAGCACATCTATAAGGGAGAAACATGGGCAGGCTCTCTATATAGTTACAGTGAGTTCAGTGATGGTGGGAGACCACAGCTGCCTGTTCACCACAGCACACCCAGTGCAAACCTCGTTGAATGCACATAAGACTGTGTCTGAATCGAGCTGAGGCAAGCAAAAGTCAGAAGTCCATAGAGTAACTTGGGCTCTTTATGCCAGTGGCACAGATCACTCAAAGATCAGATGAGGGAGGAGCCCAAAATGCCGACCCTACTACTGTGGATGCAACAGCCAGTTAATAAATGCTTGCGGACTGAGTGATGTTACCGCACGCTGCACCTGATCCATGCTAAGATGTGGGAAGGCATAGGTGGGATAAATGGTGGGATGCTATTTTTATCTCCAAAGATGTTGTCAATATGGTCATCACAAAACTGGTCGTGGTTTAAGATGCATGAGTCACACGAAAGCCTGTGGGAGTCAGCTGAGCAGACAGCCAACTGTTGTAACACTCTTCTTGACATTTACCTCTAATAGATGAGGTTTAAACTCATTTAAGTAAAGAAACTATGGAATCGTTCTTTAAAAATCCATCCTGCACAAAAGCAATGTGCTGCCTTGATTTTCCTGCAGTCAGTGGGACAGAATTCAGAAACTACGGGCCATCCTTCCAGTAGGACAGGCGGCAGCTGGGGTGTCTTTCAGACTAGAGATTTCTTTCCTGCAAATTGAATACAGAACTTTAATGTTAGCTGAGTATACTATGTTTCATGTTAGTATAAACAAAATTTTTAATGAATGCTGTGTCTCTAATTAACGGTATTTGTAGAAAGATGTCCAAAAAAACTAAGGCTTGCTGCAGAGGGAAAAAGAACATACTGTCTTTAGTTTGGAGAATGTGGCTCCACTGAATTTAAATATTTATCATATAAATGTTATATCAGAGTCTTAATGAGCATCACTTTTATGGTATTACTTCTGGAAACAATAGGAAAATGCCATGTATTGGAATGATAATTCTTTTTGGATTGCCATCCTGGGGCACCATTTAAATAGCAGTTGATTTCATTAAAAATGGCACATTCCTTTCTGAACTTAAAATTCCAAACACCTGTCATCAAAGAAGCATATAGTACAGTGTGGAGCCAGAGATCTTAGACTTTTTCCAAGTTTCTTCCTCAAGGCCCCCAAAGCAGGTGTTCTTTTCTAGTCCAAAGAATAAGATGCTTGAGAAAATCCTATTTCGTCATTTCCCAGAGAACGCACGAAGAAAAATTGCTAAAGCTTCCCTTTCAAATGTTAGGGATTTGGATGGAGCTTAAACAACAGCTTGTGCAAAACGTCATGGCTCCCATTCTGTCACACTGAGAAAGGATGGCTCGGACCCCCCAAACCCAGGCCAGACAGATGATGCTGCATGAGGTCAGCCAACCAGCTGCAAAGCCAACCTGGTTGGTAGGAGAGGAAAACTAGGCATTATCTTCTGCAAATTCAATGCGACATAGAGAATGAGACAACTACTCAGTCCCACTAAATAATATTCACACCTCTTGTATTGTCTTTAAACACCCGATATGTCAAATAAGATTCTGAGTTAAGGTTACCTGGGAAGTGTTTCCATTCCCCACTCCATTTTGAACGTGTTTTGTCCTGGGGACCTTTGGCAGATAAACCTGCAGGCTCTATCCTGACTTACTGGAGTTGAAATTGCAACTCATCAATTCATGCAGGTGCTTTACACTAAATGTTCTTCAATGCATGTTTCAAATGATATACACAAAGTACCTTCTAGAGTACTTACTCCTTCAGCTGTGATCTCATATAACATTCCACATTCCCCATCTAAGTACTCCTGCTTATTTTCTGAGTGGATAAAGGCCTCTTTGTAAATAGCTATAGTCTTACTTCTCTGGTACATGGTTTTAACTTGTGTAACTTGTGCTAACACGATGAGTTTTTCAGCTTAACCCCTATCTAACCAGGTAAGAGTTTCTCAGTCCAAGTCACATAAGACTCCTTATGGATTTCAAGGAGGCAAATAAGAGGAAGTCACAGTTCGGTATCTGTATGGACATATCATCTCTTTTCAGATAGAAATTAGAATATTCTGGGAAATTCACACTTTCGGAGAATAAAATCAGATATGGTGGAAATGCTGATGGTGGATTTTACTTAATGCTGTTCTATGACCTTTTGGCATGACTAGCTCACAACCATTAAACTCAGGGGTAGATAGAATTCAAGGGGATCCAGAAACTTAGATGGAAAAAATACTATATCTTTAGTTTCACTAACCTCAAACTGAAATTTAGTATTTCTTTTCATTAAAATGGAGGCTGCAAACCATAATACCTGTGATTCTGTTGACAAGAAAAACTGCAGATGTTCTCATATCATATTATAGTCATAGATATCTCAAAATATGTTTTACTCTCATAGCTATTTCAAGTCATGGTAGTTATACCTGCTAGTTTGCATTATTAAGTAAAGTACACATCACAATTTTTTAAATAATTGGTTAATGCATTTCAATAAAAGCAGTTTCCTTTGTAATCTTGCAAACCCTATCCCTATATTATGCATTTAAAAACAGCATTCTGAGAGGAGTCTACAGGCTTCACCAGACTGCCAAAGAGGTCCATGGTACAAAAAGGTTAAAAATTCCTGAAACAGCACACAAAACATTTAATAATGCAACAGCTGGGTTTCTAGAGTGAATCATTCCTTGCTAGTATCTTTCGAAGCTGAAACAAACTTGACCTTGAAATCAACATAATTTCCTTGTTGTAAATAGGCGATTCTGTTGACAGTCATTTCCCGCCCCTCCTTATTTTGCCATAAGAGAAGACCTGTAGATTCTAATAACATCTCTGCTATCACAGCATAGGTTGTTTTCACCTAATTATATCATTAACATTTCACCTAATTATATCATAAATTTCACCTAATTTATCATTAACATGTTGCCATCAACCCTGAATTAACTGTTCTCGTATCTAATAGTGCTGAACTCCAGCCTATTTTACAAAGACACCAAATACAATCATTTTATAACCTTAATTTGAAATATAGAAAGAGCATCAAGAAAACTTCTTGGACAAGTATCATGGTAATTCCTTATTTTGAGTAAAAGAGAGTCAACACCAAAGTACTCTATTAACAACAGTGCTTTTAAATAACAGTGCTGCTGGTTCAGTCCACACTCCTCACCGATTACAATGATGAGATTAATGAAGTGATGTGCCAGGAGATGTGCCCTGAGTACAAGCACATCAGCCCTTTGGAAAATCCCCCATGGAGACTCTAACCAAAATAGACATCTCCAAAGTCAGCAACTTAAATGAATCTTCACTCACTGAAAGCTACTGAGAAATTACCAACGCACCCACAAATATTCACTTACCACTGAAGCTAAGTACTTTGCAAAATGCTCATCTCCAGAGTAAAATAAATGCAATCAGAATTTAGGAACTAGTGAAGAACACAAAAAATAGGAATGATATATTCTTGCATTAAATTGACATGTAATTTACATACAATGAAATACATATTTTTCATATACATAATGAAGCCATTATTTTCCAGTCATCAGAGTCGTAGGTATATTACATGTACTGCTCTTAAATTTGCCTTTTTTTCTCCTTGCCAAATTTGTAAGATGTAGAAACCATTTGTAAGATGTAGAAACCCTAAATACAGCTAGGGTTTGATTAACTTCAATACCACAGGTTTTCTTGGAATTCTAAGCCACAGAATTATCCAACTCATGCACAATGATGGAAAATGCAAACCCACTAAACTTGGGAAGGAAATGAACTACACTAAGGCAAATGAACCAATTTGTACTATATAATATTATAGCAATTAAGAAATAAAAGGCATTATGAATCATTTTTCAAATCACTCATGATCTAGAGCAAATTTTTACTGAGTATATCTGTGTTTGAATTAAAGTAGATCTACCATAATAACTTAGTTTGGGGGCTCTTGTTTTCTTCCAAAGAAATTACTTCAATTTCTAAATATACCAACAGCTTAGATGACTCCCTAGTGGAGACCATCCACTGTTATTCTTTACACAGCTAAATTTTTAGAGGAAGATATTGAAAATGTGACCTTTGCTTTAACAACCAAAAAGCAACTACATGCCCACATGCAAGAGTTTCCACCCCAGCTTCCTTGCCATAGTCCAGATTATATTTTTTCTGAATAGGAAGCTATTGACAGTTTTCCCTGGTATTTTCAGAATACTCTATTTACAAGAAAAACCCCAACTTTTGTTTCATAGTATAATGTTCTTTCCCGCTGTGCCTGTTGTTGCTAATTATGAATGCTGCAAACAAGATACAAACCAAATTCCAAACTATTCTGGGATGATTCTGAATAGGGTAGCAATTGCAAAAAAAAAAAAAAAAAAAAAAAAGCAGAGTTACTAATGTATTGCAAGGCAGGGCTCCGTAAACCCAAAGCTATGCTGAAGGGAGGATTCCTGGAATTCGATGGGGAATATTTGGCTCAAGCTGCAAAATCTGTGTCTTTAAATAATGTCATGTTAGCAAGTGTTGAGCAAGAACAGCGATTATATTTTCAACTACTTCCTAGAACATTAATCCAAATTTAACCAAATTCCAGAGACTCCATACAAAATTAGCAACTAGAAGCCACTTCACATTCTTCGCCTGGTACAACAGTAATTGCTCGTGAAGAGAAACTTGTGGTAGGTAAGAGAGAGGGCAAAACCACAAGGATCTATGAAACATCTAACTGTTTGTGCAGAAAGGGAACTCATTACCTCACACAGAAGAAGTGCAGAATTTAACAGTCCATGCTTCGAAGCCCCAGGGAAGCAGCAGCGGGACCAGCAGCAGCAGCGGCAGGAGCAGCAGCAGCAGCAGCAGCATCCACCAGATTCTCACAGGCCTTTGACTGTGCGGACTCAGCCACAGACTCTGCCTCCAGCTGACGTCAAAGTCCCTGTCACATGGCCAGATGAAAGCCAAGAGAGCATTGGTTGTCGTAGCAACCACAGAACAGCTCTGAAATTATTTCAATAGGTCATCTGTCACCGTGGGGTGTGTGTGTGTGCATACATCACACACACACACACACACACACACAAATACACACACACCACAACCATCACGGACAGCTCCCTCAACCCCCAGAAGCGGTGATTCAGGAGTGCCTGCAACTTTCCCCTTTGAGACTTCCCTGTCTGTTCTTTACTGGTACTTGCAGGAAAGTGCATGCCACTCTGAAGTTCCCACCAGCCTCGCTTTTACCAGCATGAAGCATGTGTCTCTGCAGAACAAAAGGAAAGAAACTGAAAAATCCTGGGGGTAGTTTTCTGAACTAATGAAATCTATTTGGAAGTAAATGGACAGAAGCAGAAGCTCAAGGGAAGTTGGAAGAAAAGATATTTTTAAACTATGTAAGAATCCAACCTAAGCACTGAGCCATGCTAGTGATGGAGAGAAGAACAAGAAACAGAGAGGGCGGCAGCCCGGAGTAGGATGAGAAATCTTGACAGTCCCGACACCACCTAGGATGGGGAGATCGGTGGGACAAGCTCAGACTTCTGGCCCCGTAAAACGTGCATGTGGAAATGATGGCCACGAGGCAGATCAGTGCTACTTTAAAACAACCTCGAGTTATACACGTATAACCTTGCATTATACGTGTATAGCTTTTTTGGACCTTTGCGTTGGGGTCATGGTATAGGTGCAAAATCCTTTCCTCCTAAATGCTCTCTCATCCACATCCCTCTGGGGCTCAGTGTGAATAAACAGGTAAGAATTCCGTCAATGCGAAGTTCAGTGCAGCCTAGAGCAGTGGAATAAAAAATACAGTCCTGTACTATTCCTAACACCAGCTTTATTTCCTTTAGGACCAGCCTAGCTTACTTCTAACACCACACGTGTGCTTATTTCCTACTTCACTCTCCCTCTGTATAACAGAAAGCCAACTGAATGCAATGAAATAAAATCCACAGGAAGGTGCTCTGAAAAATACATTTCAGAAAGCATATACTCCTTCAAAGGGCAAAGGGCAAAGGCAGGGGAGAAGAGATTGCTCTTAAAACCCTAAGAAACTTTCCACACCAGCATTATTAGAATTTTTAAAGAAGCTGGCTTCTTTAAAAAAAAAAAAAAAGAGTAGCTCTGGATTGTTGCAAAATATAAATGGAAACTAAGCCAGCTGGGCAGATTACATTTTTGTCACTCCAAAAGAATACAATTTCTTCAAAGTCACAGAAATTGCTTCTTGAACAATAAGATTAAGTCCAAACTGTTTGACTATGGAATCTTCCCCTTCTATCTTTCTTGATGTTATTAGCTGTAGCACGGCTAAAGTAAAACCAAACTGTAATGCTGCCCCTTTAATTTCGGATTAATGACAGCAGAGAATTTACCTGTTTGCACAAGGGACAATTGCCTCATTGAATCCAATGTCTGCCTAAATGGGTCAGGATGTCTCACTGGGGGCAGATTGCAGTAATTGTGACAATTCACAAATTTGCAGTTTGTTCCAGTCAGAGACTGGTTTTCTGTTCTGCAGTGCACATCTTAGTAATGAAGGGAATGGGAAGAGAGAAGAGAAAGAATACCCTAGACTTTCAGGACCCCACGTCTCTGAGCTGCCTGCTTTAATCAGCTCTCTGACCCCAAATCCGTGGCCGCCTCAAGGCTTCTCTTCACCCAGATCCAGCATCTAAGGGAGTAAAACTGCAGTACCACTCTTTGCCGATAGGTGGCGTCCTCTGAAACCAGAAGCTCTCAGTTCTAAAAATTCCTGAAATTCATAGTGTCAATTAGTTTGAGATTTAGCAAAAACTAACACTTTAACTTTTTTCTGTTATTTTTAAGACTAAGTCTATTTTACCATATACTGACTTGAGCTTAAACTCATTATAAGTTAAAATAATCAGTGGACTAACCAATATGTAAAGAGGGCGTGTGTGATCCTTTTTCCTGCTGCCTGCTTCCTACCTGCCATCACTTACTCTCCTTTGCAAACTGCCTAGGATTAGAGATCCCTCTTACAGCTGAAAAAGCCACGGGTCTCCTGCGGGGTTGAAATCATGATGATGATCTCTTTGGAGCTCAGCTTTCTATCGATTTGGCTCATTAATCCAAATGCGGTTTGAAAAGATCAGAGGAAACACATGAGGGACCTTTTCACAACTTTGAGACCACAGCACTGAAGGAATATGTGTTGTTTTAGTTTTTAAGTGGCACCTCACTTTTTTTAGGTGAAAATGGTTCACTGAATTCAAAAATACCTATTCAAAGATACTTCTGCACTACGGTTTTGTCTTGCTATGTAAATATCAAAGCTGTGTGTTATTAGCCTGACCACTTTGCCGGAAATAACTGGTAAATGACACTAAATCAGTTTGAATTGGGTTCACACACCTGAATTAACAGGTTGGTGGGGTCATGAGCAGATGACTGTAATCGGCCTTTTGTTTGCTGTTTCTGTCTCACAGCCCTAATGCTGGTGGGAAGGCCATGGACGCGGTTTTTGGAGGCACTGGGTTCAAGTCTCATCTGGGCAAGTTTACTTGAGTCCAGAGAGCTTCAGTACCTACATGCTGGGGTGGTTGTGAGGACTGTAAAGTTAATGTGTTCTAAATTCTGACACCCTGTGTCAGGACGGAATGTGTATATTCTCACTTATCTGTTTGACTCCAGTAAGTCTCCTCCTTCAGGGAAAGGATGGAATCTGATTCATCTTACAACTCTATGGTTAGTACCCAGCTTGGAACATAGGAACATGTACCCAAAAGGAACATGCTGCCTGACTCAACCACTGGGAAATAAAGGCGGTGCAACAGAAAGAAACAGTTCCCTTTCCTTCTCACTAATAGACTAGGAAGCCTCCCCTTAGCCCCCCAAAAATGGAAAGGGGAAAAAAAAATTTGATTCATCACCAAAATTTCTAGCAGTGCATCAGTCCAAGTCAACTTGCCAAGTAATTCAAACATTTCTAAATTATAAATACTTATTATAAGTGTACTTTAGTTATATGCTGATGCATTTTATGACTGTTGCTGTTGATGCTGTATAATCTTTCACATTAATTGAGTACTTACTGTACATGGAGTATCGTCCTAAATACTGTAGCTATATTAAGCCATTTATTGGAATAACCCTACGGGGCAGTACAAATCTTTGTTCACATCTCACAGCTGGAGAAACTCGAGCATGGGAGGAGGAGGGCACTTGTCTACTTTGTCTCTGACCGAGCCAGGCTCTACACCCAGGAGACCTGGCTCCATACATTTTTGGAAATAACTTACATTTGACCTATTTTTAGAAAGAATGAAATGATTTATGCGTATCGTATACTTGAGAGTTGTTTTTCTTTTTCATTTCTTAGGAGGAGGGGAAAGCCATGTTATCTCTTCTGCCTGTTGGAACTGTAATGATTTCAATCTGGTTTAGGCCTAGGGAGTAACACGGCAAGAAAAATCTAATCGGGGACATTTGAATCAAGTAAAATGGGCAAAGTAAAACAGTGAACATATCCTAATTAAAACGGTGCCCAAAGTAGTACAGTCTTAACCGAAGCCACTATGTAGATTGCACAGCCTTGGGCAACTTTCTTTCCTGCTATGATGTAGTTTCATGTGTTCGAACCAATACTTTCACTGAGATCATGGTAAGCTGGATTTCTAAAAAACTAGTTAGAAGGCATCAGAGTAGCAGAGGCAAAAAATCTTTAAGTGCCCAGATAAAACAAAAATATATTGATATTAGCCTGATACTCCTCACCCTATCTCTGCTTTTCTACTCATGTAAGTGGCTAATTCTTAAGTGGTGTGAGGCTTTCGGCATTCTCAGAGACGGGAGAGAGTCCTGGATGCTTCTGAATGTCAGAGACAGGCATTCAAAAGCATCCAGGACTTTAGGGATAAAAATTCAGTGTGAGTGTGTGTGTGTGTGTGTGTGTGTGTGAAGGAATCACAGAGAAGAAGTCATCCCAACATTCTGAACAGTTTTTCCCCTGGAGCATTTGCCACTTCTGAAATGGTATTAGACAAGAGAACAAGAAGGAAAGCATAAAAAGACATCAAAGAGGATAAAAACCATAAAAGGGGAGCTCAGCAATCTTCTCGCCCTCCGGAGACAAAAACTGGAGTGCAGCACTCCAAGGAGTTCGAGTTGGTCAGCATCCTAAGTGTTCAGGTCCCATAACTAAAAGTTACTTCCAACTCCCTGGAAGTAACGGAAAATGAGAAATAGATGCACCTTCCCCAGAACGAGTTTCCATCCTAGAATTATTATTATAATACCTAATTAGATCGAGGTAATGTGACCCTACTGTAACTACACCCCAGAGAAAATTAACCCTCTCTAAAAAAATATGACATCATCCAGAGCTCTTACTATTTTTCATACATCACTTCCAATTTAGTCCAAGATCGGTCATCATGCCAGGAGATGGGTAGGCCTACCTGTCCCAAATCTAGGGAAAAAATAGGCCACAGACATAGATCCACATGTGATTTGTCTTCCGTAGTCAGCAGACAGAAGTTTTAAAATAACTGTAATTAATGCAGTTAATTAATGCATCTATTTCCTAGTTCAAAGAAATAGATGGCAAGATGGAAAGTTCCATCTTATTTATGTAATAAAATCTACAAAAAAGGAACACATTAAAATTAAAGCACTGAAAAATACAACTGACATTAAAAACACAACAGATGGTTGAAGAGCAGAGAAAATATAGAAAAGGAGAAAATAAGTGAAATTAAAGACAGATCACAGACAATATCTAGACTGAAGTATAAGAAGAATAGAAAATACAGAAAAGAATGTAAGAGACATTTGGAACATGATAAAATGCTAACATGTATTTAGTAAAGAAGGAAAGAATCAAAAGATAGAGCAGAAGCCATACTTGAAAAGAGGTGGTTGAGAAATTTCCAAAACCTACAAAAGATACAAAACAACAGAATTAAGAAGCTC